TGACCATCTTTATTGTTATAGTAATTGGAATTTATATTCTATTTCTTAAATTTTTTAATTCAATTTGGTTACAGTAACCACAATTATAGAATCTGTGGTAATATTGAACCATCAAGATTTTAATCTGACAAATTGTACATATTTACTAAGTTTCTGGCTGAGTGAATTCTTCTAAATTGTAATGAAAACATCCATTCTAAACTCAATATGATGGTAACAGTTAACTACAATTATAGAATCTGTGGTAATATTGAACCATCAAGATTTTAATCTGACAAATTGTACATATTTACTAAGTTTCTGGCTGAGTGAATTCTTCTAAATTGTAATGAAAACATCCATTCTAAACTCAATATGATGGTAACAGTTAACTACAATTATAGAATCTGTGGTAATATTGAACCATCAAGATTTTTTATCTCGACAAATTGTACATATTTACTAAGTTTCTGGCTGAGTGAATTCTTCTAAATTGTAATGAAAACATCCATTCTAAACTCACTATGATGGTAACAGTTAACCACAATTATAGAATCTGTGGTAATATTGAACCATCAAGATTTTTTATCTCGACAAATTGTACATATTTACTAAGTTTCTGGCTGAGTGAATTCTTCTAAATTGTAATGAAAACATCCATTCTAAACTCACTATGATGGTAACAGTTAACCACAATTATAGAATCTGTGGTAATATTGAACCATCAAGATTTTTTATCTCGACAAATTGTACATATTTACTAAGTTTCTGGCTGAGTGAATTCTTCTAAATTGTAATGAAAACATCCATTCTAAACTCAATATGATGGTAACAGTTAACCACAATTATAGAATCTGTGGTAATATTGAACCATCAAGATTTTTTATCTCGACAAATTGTACATATTTACTAAGTTTCTGGCTGAGTGAATTCTTCTAAATTGTAATGAAAACATCCATTCTAAACTCAATATGATGGTAACAGTTAACCACAATTATAGAATCTGTGGTAATATTGAACCATCAAGATTTTTTATTTCGACAAATTGTACATATTTACTAAGTTTCTGGCTGAGTGAATTCTTCTAAATTGTAATGAAAACATCCATTCTAAACTCAATATGATGGTAACAGTTAACCACAATTATAGAATCTGTGGTAATATTGAACCATCAAGATTTTTTATTTCGACAAATTGTACATATTTACTAAGTTTCTGGCTGAGTGAATTCTTCTAAATTGTAATGAAAACATCCATTCTAAACTCAATATGATGGTAACAGTTAACCACAATTATAGAATCTGTGGTAATATTGAACCATCAAGATTTTTTATTTCGACAAATTGTACATATTTACTAAGTTTCTGGCTGAGTGAATTCTTCTAAATTGTAATGAAAACATCCATTCTAAACTCACTATGATGGTAACAGTTAACCACAATTATAGAATCTGTGGTAATATTGAACCATCAAGATTTTTTATCTCGACAAATTGTACATATTTACTAAGTTTCTGGCTGAGTGAATTCTTCTAAATTGTAATGAAAACATCCATTCTAAACTCAATATGATGGTAACAGTTAACCACAATTATAGAATCTGTGGTAATATTGAACCATCAAGTTTTTTTCCAACAAACATATATTGTACTGTCCACCTTTAGACCCTGCTTCAATGTAATGAACAATTTACATTACCGAACCAACCTTTATAAAATGTAAAGAAATATAAAATGACTATGATGGTTTGACGACTGCAAAGATGAAATCTGTAGTAATTTTGAGCTGTCAACTTTTATATTGGTGTCTTGCTTAGACATAATTATGAATGGTTACATCTACCTAAATTATCTTGGCCAAGACGAGATTATTGATGTATTAATTCGATATTCTGATATAAGCATTAGACTGTAATATGACTTAACAGTCGTTTAATTTTGTTTTACGATCTGGTTATTCATTTGAGGCATTGGGGATGAACTAAATATTGTTGATATTTTCGTTCTCTCGTACTGCAAACTATAATTTCAAATTCAAGTTCATATTTGGAGAAAAGAGCTTCTATGGTCTATAGATCTATTTTTTTTATATTTAGAAAGATATATTCTCCTTGTAATATAGTTTTAATAAAATGCGTAATTTAAATTTTACACTTGTATTTGTATATAGGTCTTGGTGTAAATTGTATAAAGATTAGAGTATTCTACATTGCAGTAAGGGTTTGTTATGTGTGTTTTTGAAAAGTAAAATATTGATATATAAAGATGAAGAGGAACTGATAAGGATAACAGCATAGGCCTACAATTATAGGAATAAAATAGTTATAATACCAGCTGATGCAGTGCACTATGTGGTTTGTATTATATAGATGCTATTTGTATATGTTTTAGAAATAAAAAGATTTAACATGTTGTTTTCATTGGACTCGGTGTCCAGGTACAAGGTGACCGGTGTTGCTGTAATATAACCTTCCCAAGTCTTTCAATCTTGTGCAAATTTTATTTCTCGTGATAACTATTGAACAGAATGGAATTAAAAGACATAAATTTGAATGTGAGAATAATAATTTGCGTAAATCGAAGATCTTAGGAAACTGCATTTTCAATTACAGTCTACCTCTTTAAGTACATTTTGAACTAAAGTTATGATATATACATCCGCACAACTATTTTGGTAGGATACCATACACCCATGCATACAGTTGATTAGGCAAGATAACATACGCAAATCCACACAACTGATTCGGTTGGTTAACATACACCAACCCATACACTTGATAACATGAGTATTTATAACATACACCTTACCTATACTGTTGATTTGGCATGGTAACATACATCCCACCACACAGTATATGAGGAAAAGTTAAATACATCCACCCACACAGCATATAGGAAATGTTACATACACCCACCCACACAGCAAATTAGGAAATGTTACATACACCCACCCACACAGCATATTTGGAAGGGTTACATACACCAACCCACACAGCACATTAGGAAATGTTACATACACCCATCCACACAGCATATTAGGTTACATACACCCACACACAGTATATTTAAGTGGACTTAAGTGGCCCCTCCCTTGGTTATTTTTTTTTAGCATATGCTCTCCTGCATTTTTTCAAAATAAGTTATCATATCCAAGCGTTATAACGATCGATTAACACTGCATTTGAAGATAAGATAATAATAAGATACAAAATGATAAAAAAATACGTAATTATTTACTAATAAATCAGCTATTCTAGTAGCGATTTTATAGATGAAATTTTATAGATTAAATTTAGATGAAAACTTCGTTCGATCCAGTCCAAAGATGTCAGGAAGAAATAAGGGCGTCTAGACAACTCTATACGTGAGGGTCAGGTGCGCCATTTTATTTGACCGATCGCAGCTTAATCACATAAACTGGAATTTTTTTTAGCTAAACTAATCAGTAATAGTGTTCACAGCTCAGAGTTCACCATCGAAATGTTAGCCTTCTAATCCATGTCTGTCTAGAATTATCCGCGTTTAAAAGTTTAAAAGAGGACTCGTCATTTTTAAAATAGATAGAAAAGACATGCATAGAACTAGAGAGTAAATTTCATAGTTTGAAATATTTGTGCGATTTTCGTACACTTCTATACTTTTGAAGACTATTTACACATATTCTAGACATAAATCAACCCCTAAACAAATGACGAACATGTCCCTTTGGCTGCAAGTCGTCGGAGGGTATTATTTCAAATGTCGTGTCTTACTTATAACTATTCAAATAGTAATACGCAGAAAAACATGAATTATAAGTACAATATATACAGTAATATATGTCACTGAAACTATATCGGCACTGTTGTCACTGAACACATCTTGTTTCTGAATGTTTATGGATCGAGATAGAACATTCCAAAATCTCATCCTTGACGGCCATAGATTTTCATCAATTATTATCTTATCTGATATATTAATGAATTCCCTCTTTTCTGTTGTATAAAGTGGCCAGTGAGTTGTCACTTCGTTATCATTCGGGTCTCTGAAAAAGAAAAATGTGTATTAATGAAGGAATTTTTTGAACAAAATGGTCAGAAGCGACGCAGGACAGAATTTATCACCCTATCAAGGTCAAATGTTGATGTCATGACCAGATCAGAAATAAGTATTATGCCTGAAACTTAGAGTTTGGTTGTCAGTAGAGTCTAAGTGGAGTGGTGAGTATTTTATGTGAAACGCTTATGCCATTAGATCTTATTTTGACTACATAAATCACCAATATCACCGTTTCGCTCATCCCACCTAATGGACAATACAGAAAATACTAGCCATGACATTACCCTGTTTTAGCGAAAGCTGTCCAATACATCATCATTTCTTCAGAAATCTGGTATTCTTCACCACCAATATTCTGTCTTGATGCAGCATTGTAGGATATCTTTGGGCCGAATACAAATGGTATTTCATCAAGATGGTTCGCCCCTTTAAACCACGGGAAGTAGATTTTTAGGCTATTCATGTTAGGCTGGTGAGAAAATATATATTGATATGTCGCAGAGTTCTTGGCTTTTTCGGAGTGTAGCTGTAAGGTTTTTACAGCAGGACCAACGAACATCATATCCCCAACCATATCGACGACCTTCATTGACTGTTCTTCTTCACTGATCTCTGTACTTCTGTTATACATTGAACAAATCTTGTCTTCAACACCTTTATCGTTATCATAGAAATCTTGAACCAAGTATTTACTAACATTATTACATAGAACATTGGCCGAAACACTTTCACGAATATTAGACTTAACGTTAGCATTGAAATTATTTAACATATATAATACATTACCACCTTCGGCTGAATTAGTGCCAATGATAACGTCAGTAGTATAAAAAGCTATGTCTTTGTTCCCTTTTTCAATGATACTTTCGGGAACATCTGTAATAAAATCATTATCCACAACTGGAGCTATGTCCAATCTATATGCTATTCTGTTATGAGTCCTGGCTTTAACAGATGCTCCCAAAATAACATCATAATCGGCTGCTTTTAAACATTCGATAGCTGCTTTGGTATTCCAATTGCTAATATTGGGACTACATCCTAATTCCATACTGACATTTTTCGAATAATCAATAGGATCGAAAGCAAATGCCAATGGTGTGAAAGGAGAACCACTTTGAAGGATTGCTCTCTGAAACAGTCCATTACTATGAGTTGAGAATAGATGAAGACCTATACTGAAAGCCCCGGCTGAAACTCCGAATAGAGTAATATTGTTTTCATCACCACCAAACGACGAAATATGATCCTTTATCCACTGTAATGCTTTCAGTTGATCCCATAATCCATAATTACCACGTGCTTCCTCATCACCAGTGTATAAAAAACCCAAAACATCCAACCTGTAGTTGATGGTAATTATAATCACATCTCCCTTTAGAGCCAGCAGCGAACCATCAGTTGCCATTCCCTGACCACTATTAAATCCTCCACCATGAAAATAAATCATTACAGCTCTGTTACCATTGTTGTTATTTAATGGTTTGTATATATTTAACATCAGACAATCTTCACTAATGTTTCTATTTGGTAGTTTAGCTAAAGTATTATAAGGAAAGATCTGTGGACACGATGGTCCGAATTGAGTTCCATCTAATTCACCTTGCCAACTATCAACAGAGATTGGTTTTTCAAATCGAAGACTTCCGACGGGAGGCTTGGCATATCTGATACCCAAAAACTGCTGTACTAGTCCTTCATCGTGAGTTGCTATTCGTCCTCTGATAGCACCAAGAGATGTTTGAACCACGCGATTTTGAGCCTGTACCGAAACAAGTAATAATTTGAATCCTCCAAGAAAGAAAATAAAAGTTTTAAAATCCATGTTGATTTTGTTTGAGAGAGAACATTATAGACGAATGATGGACAAAAATAATGTTTGTGAGTAATGAAATTCACGACTGACAACCCAATGTTGTTTTTAGATTATGTTAATGAAGGAGGGAGCACACTGGTGACTATTTAAGGCAGGTATTTTGGATGGTAAAATGTTACACGGTGTGTTTATATGTATTTAACTGAAGTGAATGCTAAGTGTTAAGGTGACATCAATTAGTTTAACATTCCAACTTGAAAGAACAGAACACGTTCAAACAAACAGAATGAGGTTAAAGGTTGTGTCACCTTTAGACCAGGCATTTATTACATTTCAAACCTTTCAGAAATACTATATTATAAGGGTTTCTAGAATTTTACACGCTCTTGAAAATGAGAACATCAAGATGAAGAATTCGTCTTAACCATTATAGAAATGTTAAACTTTTGAAAGAAAAAATTACTTTATCATCGTTAGATTTTAAAATGGGGAACTCAGAACAACTGTAACATATGATTTGAAATTAACGCCATTGGCATAATCTGATATAAAATGGGACTAACTCATAGAATCTATACTCAATGATAATGTCTCTTTGAAGTAAACGAAATATGAAGAAATGTTGAAAAAAGATGTAATTTTATCGTCTTGAAAGCCATTTTCGAATCCAAGTTATCTGAATACAATTAGCTGCTTTATATACCATATTTCACAGAATAAAATTTGTTTACTCATGAGTCATGACAATTGTTTCAGGTAAAAAAATATATGGGTATTTTCCCCTATTGGAATCAGCTTTCAAGAGTTTCTGGGTATTTTCTTGTTCATTGATTTAAATATCAGGCATTATGGCCTATTTTGAAAATCAAATCTATCTGTGAATCGTCGCACCTTCTGACTACGCGTTGATTAGAAAGGGGAAAATTTAAATTCCTCGCCCTATGAAAAATATTAACCTCAAAGTATGGCCTAATCCAAAATATACGCATTCAGATTTAATTTTGAATGATGATTTAATGATTCGGGTCTTGAATATAATAGGCCTACGTAAATAGATAGTCTTCTGAAGTACAAGAAATGTAAGGAAATCGCACAATTCCTTCAAAAATATCATGAACTAGGAATTTTTCTATATATCACAGAGTATCTTAAAATGACCAGTCGTCGTTTTAAACGAGGATAATTCTGGACACATATGGAATTGAGGGCTCAAATTTCGACGGTGTGCTATGAACACTACTTACTAATTGGGATAGCTAAAAAGCTCCTGTTTCTGACACTAATGTATAATTGGTCAAATAGAATGACGCATCTGTCCTTTAAATTTAAGAGGGAGACTTTTTTATCGACATTACCTATTTTCAAGGTTTTTGTTATAGGCTATCCAAATTTGTAGATTTTCAACTGAAAATGCTACAGTGTGAGAAGTGGTCATGTAAGATATTGTCCATAGTGTTGTATAATATGATAAGCTATATATATATCTCTATGATTGTTTTGATTTTGAATTTTTTTTTATGTAGATTTGGCTTGATACACTTGGCTTTGTATTTATTATACACCTAGGCTACTTAAATGAGCGTGAAGTTTTTGAACATGGAATGCTTGAGTTTTTTTTGGCTGAACCTAAATCCAAACTCTAACAATGTCTTGTAATTTTAAAATATAAAAGTGGTTAAGCATGGTAGGATCAGTAGCCTATATAGATCGGACCATTCGACTAAACGAATTATTTATTGTCTGATTCTATATAAATTCAGAGTAGCTCCCCTTTTCTGATATTTTGTTTATTTTCAGGAATCTAGAATCTTCTCTCTTCAATGACATCGTGTTTGACTAAAAAATTAAACAAGTATCAACATATCTCAATATTATTGTGTTGTACAAAGAATACGATGGCAGAAGACCTTCTTTGTTATAACAAAGGTTGTGGGAAAAAGTTTGATAAAAGAATGAATGAAACCGGTAAGCTTTTTTAGGAGATTCTGATACCGGCTAAAGAGGATAGTCTTGGGCAATTGGGCCAACCGTTGTCGGTAAAATAACCAAAAAAGGCAAAATCAATAAAGTATCCTGCTTGTCATAAAAGAGTGCAATTAATTAAATGTGAATTATTCTTTTAGATTCATGCCAATATCATCCTGGTGGACCAATCTTCCATGATGCCTTGAAGGGGTGGTCATGTTGTAAGAAGAGATCTACTGATTTTACAGAGTTTCTGAATATTCCTGTAAGTTATAAACTTATTGTTATCAATGTATAATTGAGATGATGGATCTTGTGTGTGTTTTTGTTCTGTAAAGATATAATGTAGATGATGATGGAGATGCAATGCCCATTATAGCCTATGGCTTCCTTCAAAGTGAATTTCTTAACTAATATGTATACTAGAATACCGTACGTAATACAGATGTACTGGTATCCTTGCGTTTTTTATATGTTCTCTTAATGTTATCTCTGATTTTGTTTGTAGGGATGTACGAAGGGAAAACATAGCAATGAGAAGCCACCAGAACCTGTAGCTCCCCACAAACCTGATAAAAATACAGTTAAAGAAGAGGTAAAACTTGAAAATGAATGAAATTATATTTCAAAATATTATATTAAGAGCTTCAAATGTATCCCAAAATTTTGTACAAATTAATTTTCAGTGAAACAAAATGATAAACATATATTGTGGGTGACTGCTTGAAACCTAGTATAACGATATATGACGCAAAATTACTTTTCGAGAAAAACGCAAAAAACTATTTGTACGCGTATTTTGTACAATCTTTATTACCATTTCTTCTACTACTTCTTTTATTATCTTCTTATTTTTTTTTACTGCTATACTTGGTTTTCATTCTTGGAAAATATAAACCTCGTATAACAATTCGAGATCTCCAGCCTATTGAACCAAAAACTCGAATAATAATACAGTATACGCGGTTTTTCATTTTCATCTGCTGAAAAGGAACATTGAACCTCGTATAATAATATATTTTACGAGGTTTTAAATCTGACTGTTTTAATACGTGTTATTTGATTAGTGCTTTTTGAGTTATTTACAATCAAGCTAAGAATACGAGGATTTGATCACAAGATCTGCGCTTTTACAAGCTTTCGAACGGTACCAAATAGGCAAAATGACCAAATATGGCATATACGAGGTCACCCACGATATATATCAAAATATCGTGTGTGACCGCTAGAAACCTCGTATAACGATATATGAAGCAAAATTACTTTTCGAGAAAATTGCAAAAAACTATTTTAACTCGTATTTTGTTACAATCTTTATTACCATTTCTTCTACTGCTATACTTCGTTTTCATTCCTTGAAAATTTAAACCTCGTATAACACTTTGAGTTCTTCGACCTATTCAACCAAAAACATGTATAATAGTACAGTATACAAGGTTTTTCATTTTCATCCAAGAAAAAGGAACATTGAACCTTGTATAATGATATATTTTATGAGGTTTTAAATCTGACTGTTAACATGGTGTAAAGTTTATAGAACCATTTAGAGATATTCAGTGTTCATTATGACCTTATTTATGGGCCTTATTTCCAAACAAATCAAGATTTATTTTAAGTAAGATTTTCACATTTCAAATAAAAATTGATTACTGAAGTCCCTGACATTTCAGACAGTAGGTTCCTAAATAACAACGTTAAATGTTGATTGTTATCATATTGTCAATTCTTTTTTTTTTTTTTTCGAAATTTCCACAGGGCACACAGCCTAGGTTTCAATAGCTACATCAACATTTCTACATGTGTAAACCTTCTGCAGTGGCAACGTTGTTAATGAATACGAATTGCAACATTTTTGCAAAACCGTAAGTGCCACAGTGCAACATATGCAAAAACTCGTAAATCGGCCCTAGAAGGCGCATTTTTGCATCGATTTTCTTCGGGTTTTAATTTTTAAAATCTGGCTGTAATTTCTGATGAGATAGCACTTGAAAAATTATGAAATTCGAAAATTTGTCGCAAACTTTTTTCGATTGAATTTTGCAATTTTTTTGCAACTATTTTGTTTTTGCATTGATTGATCTGAAATTTAAAATGCAAAGAGGCATCAATAAAGTCAATGATATGATACAGTCAGAGTTTTGACACCACTTCCGGTTTTGAAGGTGGAATCAATTGAAAGTACAATCTACTTCCGGTCGAATAACTTCCGGTGTAAATGAAATAGGTCAACGGAATTTATGCAGGTCGTAAGTAAATGCTAATACAAAAAAATGAAGAATATAAAATCCAGACCGGAAGTGACACTTTCGCTGCCATCTTGATTTTCTCATTTTTCTTAAAATCGAAATAAGTCCTTAGGGATAAACTAAACCTTGACCTTCATAGGGTCAATGGTCATTTGACCTTTGACCTCCGACATGTACTTCCGGTTTTATAGCTATCCGTAAAAAGCCAAATTCGCAACTTTGGACTGCTCTAGCACGTGACCTAATTAACCTAGAGAGTAAATTTTTTTTCGGTTTCCTAATGTGCTTCTCGTGTACTTTACATAGATATATAACAATCGTTTTTTTAAAGCAAAATTGAAAGTCGTGATTTTTTCAAATTTGAGTTTTTATTTTACAATATTTGCGACTTTTTGAGCTTAGTGTATGTATATATCTTTTTGAGCTTAGTGTATGTATATATCTTTTTGAGCTTAGTGTATGTAGATCTTATGATCTATTTGATGTAGAACCTTGATATTTGGAATATAAGTAGACACTTTGAATATGAATTCACCTATGACAAAAATATTTATGTGGGCGTGGCACATCCGGGTTGAAGTACTAATTGTTTACATTTAGATGCAGGGGCATAACTCGCATAGGATGCGTTTATTCAAAAAGGGCCTTTGCACACAATTACCTCATCCTTTTGGCCAGTTTGTGTTAACAGCTCAGTTGCTTCAGCTTTATAGTTCCAAAAAAGGAACGGGTTTTTTACATTTGGATATTTTCATTTTTCGATTTTGACCTTTGTTGACTTTTGTTGACCTATATCTTTTGACCTGTATGATGTAGAAGCTTGAAATTTGAAACACGACATAACATTTTGAATATCAATTAACCTATGCAAAAAAAATTGAGGTGCGTGTGGCACATCCGGGTTAAATTACTCATTATTGACATTTTTGGCCAAGGGCATAACTCGCAAAGTATACATTTGTTCAAAGTGGAACTTTGCATACAATTATCTCATGTTTTAAGCCACTTTGTCTTAGAAGTTCGGTTGTTTCCGCTTCATAGTTCAAAAAAAGGAACAGGTTTTGGAAATTCAAAATTTTCAATTTTTGACCTTGACCTTTGTTGACCTTGACCTTTGTAGGATCAAACGTCATTGGCATTGGCTATCTATTTATACTTTTGTATTTGCTGTCCTATGTCAACTTCCGGTTTTATAGTCGTGTGCAATTAGAAATTTTGATGACGTATATCTCTTGATCTTGACCTTTTTAGACCTTCTCTTTTACAAGATCAAAGGTCATTGACCTTGGCTATCTGCTGATGCTTTCATTTGTGGGGTCTGACGTCTACTTCCGGTATTAGAATCTTCTAAAAAATGGAAATTTCTCAACTTTAGACTGTTCTTGCACATGATCTAATTATCGTGGAGGGTTGATTTTTTCGGGGTCTTTTGCAACATGCTACATTTGCAAAGTCCCACTCTGTGCCACGTGTGGCTCTAGTTCTTTTTGTTTTAGGTGGTTGTTGTCAAGGCTCCACTGGTAGAAGATATAAAAGCTCGACAAACTAAATCAGATAAATTTGCATCTGATAAATTAAAACCAATCAAAATTACAGTTGCTAATTCATTAAAGACAGCACTTGATAAATTATCTCTGGAATCAAATAATGATAATAATATAGAAGGTAGGTTTTAAATTTTATTGGAAAAGTTGCTCATTTCAAAATACCAGTATATCATAAAATTATACAACTTGCAGCACAAAAACAAGAAATAATAAATGCTTTTCTCAATTGTTTATGTACTTAATATGGTTTCCTGTTTTGTACAGGGAATGATGAATCCGTAATAGAAATTGGTACAAGTTGTAAGAATAATGCTTGTGGCGCTGTAAGTTATATTTAATACTACAATGACCAGTTGACCACTAGTCACTTGATTGACTATATAAGAATTTCTTATTTTTTGATTAAGATTCTAGCATGAACACTGTGTTAAGAAAATTGAAAGCAAGAGAGGAAACAAAATAAAAGTGCCTTATTTGATATATATCCCATCATTCTTTCTGATCAGTTTCAAATTGTGATAAATTGCTTGGATTTATCGAAAAAATTGTTTTCATTCTTCCATCCGTTATTTTGTTGTGTTAAAGTTGTGTTCTTCGATAATACCATATTGTTTATTTGTTATATTCTAGACATATGAAGGAGAAGCTAGTAATGAACAGACCTGTACCTCTCATCCTGGTCAACCAGTCTTTCACGAAGGGTAACATAGACTTTTTACAACAATTAAAAAGATATTTAAAGTAAATCTGTATCCAAAGGCAAATAATCTTTCCCAGCTTAGAGAGCTTTCACTGTAGTATTTCATGAATTTAAAGACTTACTGCATTTGTTTCATTGTCAGAGAATCTTATGTCACATTCTGTTGTGATACCCATAGCTGTTAGTATTCTACGGCTTATAAAGTAAATAATTAGACATAACTTCATATATATATAACTTCATTGGTTTGATAATAGGACCTCTAAAAGATTGATATCAGAGCAGTGGCTTCTTGATATTTTATGTAGATATTAGTGCAAAAGTAATTTAAAAGCTGTCAAGAGATGTAAATTTGACTAAGAGGAAAAAATCATCAATGCCTGTTTTATTTCAGTATGAAATACTGGACCTGTTGCCAAAGAAAAACATCAGATTTTGATAATTTCTTAGCTCAAGAAGGATGTAATTTAACAAAACATGTGTGGCGTAAACAAAAGGTTAGTAAGATAACATTTCCATGTGGACGTATATTGCCATCGCCCCTGTCCGTCGTAATTATCGGATGAATGGTTTCTGAGTTATTGCCCTTAACATAGAAAAAACTCGTAAAATTTGCCTTGAAGCGCGATAGAGGCTACAGTTTTTATACTATCTTCATGAAACTTGGTATGCATGTATGTATCTATGAGATCTCGGTCAAATTTGAAATTAGTAATAATTGGATGAACGGTTTCAGAGTTATTGCACTTGACTTAGTAAAAACGCGTCAAATTTGTCAAGATAGAGACTACAGTTTTCATCTGATCTTGATGAAACTTGGTATGCATGTATGTATTGATGAGATCTTTGTTAAGTCCAAAATTAGTAATAATCGGATGTATGGTTGCAGAGTTATTGCCCTTGTGTTGGTGAAAACGCGTTAAATTTGGCTTGTATGAATGATAAAGGCTGCAATTTTTCTCCGATCTTGATGAAACTTGGTATGCTTGTATATATTGATGAGATCTCGTTCAAGTTCGAAATTGGTAATAATCCGATGATTGGTTTCAGAGTTATTGCCCTTGACTTAGTAAAAACGCTTCAAATTTTGCTTGTAGTCTGATCTCAATGAAACTTGGTATGCATGTTTATATTGATGAGATCTCAAGTTCAAAAATGGTAATAATTGGATGAATGGTGGTGGATTTTTGGCCCTTGAATTAATTCAGTGCGTCTAATTTGGCTTGTAGTCCTGATAGAGACTACATTTTTTTATTCGTTTTTTGATGAAGTTGGTATGAGACCTGAGTAAAGCTTGAAATCAGGAACAATCAGATGATTGGTTTCACATATTCAACCACTACAGACTTTGTTATCATTTTTGACAGCTGTTAGTGGGCGTATGTTACTTTGCCTGGCAAGCTATCTTATTTATTATTTTCAGTGACATCAATGAAAATTTATATCAGATTTATTGGTATACCAAGATATAAAAGGTCTAAATACTGCAATTTCTAGCAATCACCACTTGATTTACATTCTTTCATTTGTCTCATCAATTGGTTCAAAGTACTGTTTGATATCTCTCACAGCAAATGATTAAAGTCTTAATTGTTATAACATTTACTATTGTATTTTAAAGGTGGATGGTGAAGAATTAAAATCCTGTCGATTTGATTGGCACCAAACATCCTCCAATGTCTGTTTATCAATATTTGCTAAAACAGTTTCACCAGAGAAAAGTACTATAGAAATTAATAAGGTGACCTGTAAATTACATCTTGTATTTGACGGTGGTAAAAGTGTTTTTGATAAAACTTTTCATTTCAGTGATGTAAGTATTTTGGAAATAAAATGACTTAAGGCCCTTTAATCATGTAATCTCTAACTACTTTATGTGATAAAGCATAACTTGAGATTAGTGTTGACATCAAACACTTAGTCTGAGTGAAATTGCAGGAACCACAGTCTGATCGAAAATTGAAATGGTGCTTATTAATGCTATCAGTGTCCCTGATAAAATTGAAATAATTTTTGATTTCAGATAATCATACCAGAAAAAAGTGAAGCTAAAATGATGGGAACAAAAGTTGAAGTTAATTTACGTAAACAAGATTGTTTTAGTTGGCCTTTATTAGAGAGAAGTAGTGATAATAACAAATTAACAATAAGACAATTAGGTGATAACTGATACACCAGTACATCTAATGTTCTACAGCATTTAAATAAACTACAGCATTTATTAGTTGAAAATACAATGAATACTTTATTGAGTACCTTGATATTCCTGGATTCTTTGATGTCCTTTGCAATCCAAAATCTCCCAAATGTACAGGTGTAGGATTTCTGCCCTATAAAGAAAACTATTCTTGTTCATATCATACCAAGAATAATTTTCTTAACCTTTACCGTTTTCAAGTGTCTATTTTTTGAAAACAAAATTGTGTATGATTCAAGACAATTTAAAGAAAGTACACTGCACTGCATCCAGAGATTGTATTATATATTTATGATGTAGAAAACAAGAAACAATTATTGTCACTACATATTCAGTGTAGCATTCATTTTTGATTGATTTAGAATGTTGTCTTGAAAAATAAAATTCATGTTTTTAGTACTTGTTTCCATTGAACAATTAGTGTATATTTCACCCGTGTCTTTTATAAGACCACATAATAAGTTATCTATTTTGAAGACATCTTGGATGAGTTTGTTATTTTGAGTTTTGTTCGAATATTGACAAAACTTGGTGTTTACTGATAATACCGGTTGGGTTCAGTGTTATAGTTGAGAACTGTGGGAGCAATATGCTGATGATTCAATCGAAATGCACCTGCAAGATGTGCCAGGTTTCTGTATAAAAGCCACCCGATATCTACTGAGAATTCAAGTGCTTTGTGACGACAGCGATCATGTCACGTCTTAACCTCCAAACAACCAGAATATGCCATTCAACAGTTTGAAGCATGGCAGATTCACCACAGGGACACAGAGACAGCTAGTCAATAGCCTTTTTCAAGACTCCGGCCTAATGTAGAACGGTTAAGGACTGAATGATCACAAATTATCGTATAACCGTGTTTCCTTTCATAGGCTAAGTCAACAAGATAAACATTCAATGTATTCAGACAGAAAACAAAATAGTTCAGGAAAAATTAAAAGTAAAGTAAAAGTAAAAATTGAAATTGCTAATTAAGTATTGTTGAGAGGATTACGCGATTTCCATGAAAACACTAAACATATATTCTAGACCCAATCAATCTCCAAATAGAGTGAACCATAGCCTTTATGTTATTCTTGACGCTTATGACAATACTTAGGAATCTCAGTGAAACTTTCTAGTTTCATCGACCGCATGCCAAAATAGACGTAATTGAAAGTGATAATTATCTTATATAGAACTGTATTTTGATCCCAAATCGAGAAATAGATAACAAATTTAACGACAAATTGCAAGAAACGCTCTAAAAGAAATAAAATATTTACATTATGTGTTGAACATCATAAAAAAGTATCTCAATAAGCGTACATACGACGATGTTGGCATTTTTATTATTCACATAGTTATTTGCTTATTGGGTTAGTTTACAACTAGTGTACACTTACATATGCACAATCCCCATTCCTTTCCAATTTCTTTTACATTAGTCCTTTACCTTGATATTTTTCCATTAATTTGCAAGGATCCCTCGTAGGTTGGATTATCTTGATCTTATTGTTCATTTTACATTGATCATTTGGTCTACGTTGAGCTATTTTGGTTTATGTACATTGATACTTTGAGATTGCTCTAATCCTGGCTTGGAGTTTTGGGTTGTTATTTTGGTTTGCGCAGCCTGTTGGTTTGCTTTATCTTCATCATGCTGTCGTAATTTACTCAGATCAATTTCCTCCAGTTGGTTACTTTGATTCTTCTCTGAAGGTTTACACTGATCTTTCTCTGAACATGGATCATTAGGTTTACTAATATCCCTCTCGGGTTGCTGGTATGGTTTGGTATTCATCGGCCGTTGGCCCAATCTGTGATTTCGTTCAGCTTGATTTGGAGTAGTTTTGTTAACGGTCTCGGTTCCATTTGAGTCGTCAACTATTTTGGTTTGGCTATCTTCGGATGGTTTAATTCCACCATTTTTGTGATTATGAAGAAGCTGATACAAAGGCTGACTTTTAGCTAAAGCAAACTCCACTGCAAATCCTGGTCCACGTTTTATTCTTCTTTGTTTTCTCCACGAAGCTTGTGATGCCTCCTGGTCTCTGTTTAGATAATCCTGTGATACTAGACAAGCTTTGAAACATCCCTTGCATTTATACGGACAACCAGCACTGTGTTTAATAACACCATCTGATGAAAACAGAAGAGGTCTAAGGAGAGATCCATGTTGCTCTTGTTTTTGATGATTTGCTTTATATTTGCTACCATCTTCGGTTGAATCTTCCTTAGTCATATTCCTTCTGTGGTATGCTGATTTAGCTCGCCAATAAAGGTTAGTCTTGGTTCTATAATCTTGGGTTACAGTTTGGGTTCTGGTTCTGTTAACACAAGCTGGTGCTGACTGAGCTCGTGTTTGGTAGCTTCTTCTTATCCCCTCTATGGTATCAAACGTCTCTTTGGTCGGATCAACTTTGCTGACTTCAGGCGTAACATCCCAACATATTTTTCTGGACTGTACGTCCTTGCAATGCGACGACTGAATAGTCAAATCTAAATCTGCATTCTTTGAATTGTTACTAGCAATGTTGTAATGAGTCGCAAGAGCGATCCCTCTTTTCAAAGTCCTTGAACTAAAAGCAGTCACAGGTCTCTTTATGGACGTTGGTGGTCTGACAAAGCCACTATCTGAAGTCTGTGAGCCACTTCCGCTTCTGGAATTGTAACTATTACCAGTTAATGTCTCATACTTCTCTAAACCGCGATATTGTGGATTATGTTTGATCACAAGAATGCTATTAGCAGTATGGGGTCTTTTGGATAACGCTTCAATACTCACACTGGATGAATCATTCTTTTGTTTTGAACTAATTCCACCTGGACATAACCAGTCATTGGCACTAATTCCATTATATACCACACTGTGTTTACTTTCATGTGGTGCCACTCTTAATTTCATAAACACTTTGCTACTTTCTGGAATCATTTTAACTTTGTCACTTTGTTTTTCTATGAGTTTGAGTAAGAGTAAGATAACAAATTAAGACTGTAAAACTTTTAAAGTCACAAAACAAAGTACATGTACATAATTAATCCAACGTGTTAAGTCAAACTTTTCGAAGCTGTTTATTCCATGGCTACAAAAATGTTTGGTATCAGAAGCATAGAATATAAATAAACTGGTTTGGTAACTAAGGTTCTGTGACTAGTTTCAAGTGTTAATTATGACTGTAGATGTTTTGTAATGAGTATAATGATTGATAATAAATCAATAAGGTAATGATTGCAAGGTGATATATAACAATGACTACAGTTCAAGTAAGAATATTGAATAGAATAATGTGTTAATGAGTTATATATGTTGAAGTCCGATTACTTTTATCTGACAATAACAGGCACTGTTGTCTACCATTACTAGCTGATATCACTGTAAGGAATGGGGGAAATCCTTTTTGATCAATGATGAAGAAATCAGCCATGAAATATCCAATAAACATCATTATTTATGTGAACTCCGATACAAGAATGTCAAGTTGACAAAACCTGTCGGTGAGTGGCATTAACCTTGCAATGGCCCGCTTATTTCATGGTTAGCGATTGGATTGTACGCCAGTGAATACAGCCAGTCAGAGGCCCCAATGTCATGCCAAATCAAATGTATTCGCTAGCGTACAATCTACACCAATTGCTGCATTCACAGTTTGTGAAACAAAAAAGTGTGCTATTGCGGTCAAGGTATAAGATGGAGACGTAATACCTTGCCCATTATGAAGGTACTGTATATTATTGTTGGACAAGACCGTAGAAGTTTACAACTAAAGCTGTGAGAAACTCCAAAATAATATCTTAGATGAACTGGAAAAATGAGGGTTGTTAAGTGGTCATATTAAGGCATGTGTACAGCCATACAAACAAGGAATAAAAAGGTTACGCGTTGCAACTGCCATTGTTGTACATGTTCTACATACAACTACAACTGCCGTGTCTTATATCAATTGCACAAATCCTTTACATTGCTTTCCAAAAACTCTGTGATTCAACAGAAAATCGTTATTTTTAACTGTTCTGAAGAAGAGGAACCATGTTCGATCTCCTCAATTCTTACGGCGTTATAATGTTTTTGTATAACTGGGCAATAATTAATCAATTCATGTTTTATTTTTTTTTATACTTTTAAATTTTTTGTAAAGTTCATTCACATTCCTCACAGTTTCTTTTTCGCTGTGAATCTAAATCCTTTATAATATGCTTAACAAGGAGCTATATAACCCTGTGGTGACAGTATTCAGCTGTTCTGGTGGGTGGTTAAAACAGACACGTAATATTCCTTTCATATAAAATCTCGACTAAGTTTTGAGTAAATTTATCTGATAGATCCTAGTTATCTTCAATAATTTATCGACACCTCAAGGTATTGCAAATATACAAAATCTAGCTCGACTACATTGACCACGATAGCAGATACGAGTTGTGGCCCTTTGTCAGAAAACGGCTCTACCCGCAAATGTTTTAGAATTATAAACAAATATTTGTTGAGGAAAACCATGCTCTTTTATTAGCAATTTTTACAATTTTAATTAGTGATTTTTAAAATGAAATCTTAGAGGAAGTGAAGCTTAGGTTTGCTACAACAAGTTCATTTTTGTGTGTTATTGCATGGCCATAGTGCTGAAGCTCAGTGGCGGAGTCACTGAAGGCATGTTTTTCACTCATAGACCACGTATCTTACTATTTAACATATTTAAACAAACTCCACTGACGGATTCGTTTGTTTTAATGTTAACTCGTTAGAACTGTTGTACATATACTATTTAGACTGGGTATAAAGGAGTCCTAGCCACCCGTTGTCATGTTGATCAATTACTTTCTCCGACTCACGGATCAGTTACATAAGAATGCGGGCACACGACCAGTATTGGTACCCAACTAAAATCTTGAGTAAAATCTCACGTGTGCCCGCGCTTCCACGCTGTCATCATCCAATCAGATTTATTTTTCCTTGCTTGATCCGCACGCGATTATCTATATTGTGGAAAACGATCTACTATTCTGTCTACTGGAAATATTTTGTCTCGTCGTGTGCCCTCAGCCGATCGGTGAAACTCTTGACAAGAATTTTGATATTGCAGACAAAGACTATTCGTTTGCCAGTACCCTTAAATGTTCAGGGAATAATGAAGGAAACCGGCGAAGAATTATCTTCACAGATGCTTTTTCGAGACAAAACGTCGTGAATGCATCTCTACAAATTTCAATGCAAGCATTGGATTTTTCGAAGCTGTCGCGATTCAATCAGAAGGCATGTGATGCTTTGCTCTCAGATGCACGGCGAACATTCTGTGTATATCATTTTGAAGCATTCAGATTGTTCACTTTTTCAATCGCCAATGGTTCGCAAACCATCACAAAGCCCAGTGGGACTGAGGCATTATGTAAGGCGAAAGTTTCATAACTATTAATTGTTAGTATAGCACACTGATTGATGAACTGACCGATTCTTGACAGCACGAGTTACTCCTCTTATTTCAAATTATTTAATGTTTTTTCCGAACAAAATTCCAGCAAATGAGTCCCTTTCGGTTTATAAGTCAGATAAAACACTTTCCCTCAGGTTTTAATGATTTTAAAATTCTTTTCCCTCGGAAAATCCCGAGGGTGGTTTTAAATATCATAAAAACAATCGGCCGTGTTTTATCACATATCTATTATCTTGGTAGTAAAGGGTATCAAGGATATGCCAAGTCAAGGCTTCTTAGAATAACAACCTCATTCTGAAACTACAGTGTATTCACTCAGTGATATCACACTAAGCCACATTAGATGTTAAAATTCAAAAGTTGGAATATTTAATTAAATTAAGGTTATAATTATATTTATTCTCTAAGGTCATCTATAACACATTGAAGTGCGACTTGTGGGACGTCTATTGTGAGAATGACAGTATTCGGCATATTCCTCCCAAGAACAAGACTTATTATAACAACATTCTTCCATTACTCCTCGCTTCTTAATTGAATGGCCCTTTCTCTTTCTGCCTGTGTCTCTCGTGGCTAGGAATGTTGTTGCTCGACTTTTGTCAATAAACAGATTTCTTGTTTTGTTGGAATCTGAAAGAGAAAATGACCCAGTTATACGGGATTTATGGGATTTGGGGCCACGAACTGGTTACCTTGCACTATTCCCTTTTCTCCTCCCGTCTGCTAAGAGTAGAAATGTGTATGGTTTATGACTATTTTACGAGTATTTTTAAGATCGTGTCCTTTATTGAATGTTTCGACGATGCAACATAAAGTATTATATTGTTCCTACAAGAGTGATATCAAATGTTACCATCTGAAAGAATGACAACCAGCTTCTATAACTTTGGCTTGGAGTGTTTGTTTCAGTTGAAAATTTGAACTTAGTTGAAGAACAATTGTAATAACACACATCAACATTTTCTTATGTATTAAAATTTCGATTAGTCTGGAACTATAAGAAGTGATTCAATGATCTTATTATTATTTTGATCTTTAATTGTTGATTTCAATTGGGTTCATCCTTGAGCGTAAATAAACAGTTTCACCACGTTTCTTCAAAATCCGTCAAGAATTGTGTCTTCTATGGTGTTTAAGAGCTAAAATCCAGTTTATATATTTGTTTCATATTCAATTTAATTTTGCCTTCTACAGTATTTACGAAATGGAATTAAAATCTTTTTGCACAGTAAGGGAAATAACTCATGTCAAATATTATTAAATTGAAAAGGTCTCTACACAGTGTATTTATTATATGAAAAATGAACACATTTTGAAGAACAGGGGTGATAATGAACAAATCCATGAATTATCTTTGAAATCAAACACAAATTGTAATAATTTTTACCCCAATTAAACAAGAATCATTTTACTCACCATTTTGATTGTCGACAGATCTCTTCTTTCTATATATTTTATAAGGATCAAATATACAAGCAATATTAACATGTTCTATTAACTGTGAGCGACATCGTCTGTGACAGTCTGTATGCCATAAGGCCAATAAATCTTCTGGTGATGCTTGAGTGAATCTGCAACATAAAATGAAATGTATGGAACTTGGGATCGCCATTTGTTGATCCTGGTCAGATTTTACCCAGATCACGTTGTTGTTGATGGTTGCATTCGTTCTATTAATATCACTTGGTGGATAAAACATGAATCAGTTTCGCCAATGATGTCAGTGTCGTGGTGGTATGTTCGGAATGGAATGGTAAAGACAGTTCACATGTTAAGATGATAATAAGTATATTAGAAGATAGATATTTGATATTTTTGTCTGATCTTAAACGGGATGTAATAACCACGCGGTATGAATCTTGCATTATTTGGTAATGAAAATAAATGAATTAAAGTGCACAGTAAGGAAATTATTCTCGGTCATCTATAATATATAATATTAATTATGAAGTTGTTCAATGAAAAAAAGTCGACATTAACAATAATTTACATTGATATTTCTGTAGGTCAATATTTCGTGATCAGATATCCGAATTCGTGTCAGACATGAGTGTTGTTAGAAAGACCTGATAGACCTATAAAGATTACGATAAAATCTCAATTGTATCAGAATTACACCCTTTTCAATTACATTGACAAGGAAAATAGGCCTAATTCTTTAATAAAACTCATTATAACTATTATTTTATGACACAAACTATAAATACTGTCAGTGAGGAATTATTATCAATCCCCGCTATCATTCTTCCTTAATACCTTATAGTATATCTCTTCAGCTCAATGAAATAAATATTAATTTACCTGTCAGCGAAAGCCTGGACTAATAGATCGTTGCCTGAAGTCTGTACAAGTTTAGTTAACGTTAATATGATGATGAGTAATGTTGATAAAATCACATTAATTTGTTGTAACTTGAAGGTAAATATACCTGAAAATAGACGGTCAATAAATTCATTATAACTCCCACTATAATCAGTGTATCATGATTACCCCTTTGGGACATCGAAATATATCATGCTGTTCCATTCTGCAGACGTTGCTGGAAAGAAAGAAGTTGAACTTAAGCTACAATGAGGTTCAATGTAGTGTCAAGTCTAATTCTGTATTTACTCAGCAAAATTCCTCCAGAAATAGTACGTTTTTTTCAAAGAAATTTTCTCAATGTTTGGCCATTGAATTATATATAGGTATACAATCCTACCCAGACACGTACCTCCTAACAAGGCCACAACTTCAAAAAGACGCGATTTAGAAAACTAGCCAACCAATGATTGGTGCCAATTTCGATAATGAGCACCCCGACAACTCCCCCAAACAGGGCATTTCAGAGCTGAAATAGTGGGAAAACATTTAATATGGGTTTTCGGATATTGAATGAGTAAAGTTACCCAATGAAATGTAACTAAGCGAAATATTATGTATTGTGGATTGTTTAAGAAAGTCGAAAACCCGAGTACTATTTTTTGAAAGGCATAAGAGAGGCGAACCAGTGAATATCAGAAATATATTATGATCTTTGGTACCTTCGTTTAAAATATAATCAGTTAGTAAAATGAATCCGATTTTGCTAAGAGGTTGAATAACAGTTTATGTGAATGTTTGCAAAGATTATATTATATCTTTCAACAATGAAATAAGTTATTACCCCTTTTGGGTAATCACTCGTACATAGCCGTCATCCTCTCCCTTTAATGTTTCCTGTTTTACTGTCTACACTACTTTTTTTAATCTTGATTAATTTTTAAAGAAAACACCCCATTGTAGAGAGAGAATTGAATTCGGGTCGCCGGAAAACGGTAAATTTTTTCATTTCAGAACTATTCATTTGAATCAAGGTTATGACCATAAATATTAGGACCTGATAATTATAGAGATATTAGACATTTTTTTCACTAAATAACAGCTTTACACGTTGACAATTGTGAAATAATAATGATAAAAAAAAATCCTTGTCAAATGTGTACCACTGTGGCAACCAATTTTAGCATGAAAATTTGTTTCTCTATAGTAGTCAAAATTGATAGTGGGAAATAACTGAGGAACTGAACATAGAATTAGAGAGAAATATTTTGTCATGGAAAACGTGTTTGTGGACGATTTGTTCTGAAAATTGGGGCCATGCTATTTCCCCACCCATATCACGATAATTAGCCAAGACGCTTACAGGCCATGGTTCGCTATTTTTTAGGGAGAAAACAGTCTTTACAAGTATTAGAAATGTATGAAAATCGCATAATTCCTTCAAATATACCCCAAAAAAGAAATTCCACTTTTTGTTTATTTCGTTTACAAGTTTATCTTCTCTTTGTAAATTGGGGTATCCGAAAGTTGAACGTGTTGTTGATATAGTCGCTGACACCCAGACATATTGTCTACAGTGTACACGCGACGTCATCAACCGTTCTTCAAAATGGAAAATTGGAAAACAGCGACTCGTCTTTATAACCCTCAAATTCGGATAATTATGGATATACATGGCCATCCTATTTCTACGTAAGCTGTGAATACAATAACTGGTTAGCTCACCTAGCCACCACCTCTATGCCTTTTATGAGAATATCATTTCTATAAAGTCCTAAAACTAAATTGTTGAGAGACACTGGGTTGTTAGGAACACCTTTGTTAAGATGTATTCACAAACAGCTCACAAAACAGCCAGATAATCACGAATTGCAGTTGTTTTCTTCTTAAGAATCCTTAACTTGATAGTTCTGATGCGGAAAATTTTTAAGTTGATCTGCCAACATCATAATGACAACAGAAAGCCACAATCTGATGAATACGAAGAAATAATACTTGTGTATATGTTTCTGCATATTAAGTCAATTACCCGAAAACTTCAACTAACACATATTAAAATGTCTGACTTCTAAAACCTAATTTGAAATTTCATCAGCTGATAGACCTCAAACTCAGCATCCTAAAGCATTCTTAGGCCTACTATATAAAACTGAAAACAGAATCATAAAAATCCGTAAAGAAATCTCGCACAATCGTGAGTAAAAGTTTTATAGCAGTGGACTCCTCCGAAGATAAAAACGAAACCATAACCCCTACTGATTTGACATCTATGGAATCTGAACCCTGATCATCTCAAGATAAAAATGTTAAGTGTTCATAGTTAATTTTTCAAAACAAACGATGAAAGATTTAAGCTTTTACCTATTACAATATCCCAAGATATTGCGAAGGCCTGCGTTCGAGTAAATATCAATGAAATTTGTTTTTATTGTAGTATTTTTTGGGGAAAACTGAGTCAATGAATTACTAATCTATTTTTTCCAATACAAAAATTTGTTAACCAACATGTTTTCATTTAGTTTCTGCATTCTTCAATGTCCCTTAACTAAATAATATGTAAATACTACTACAGTCAATTTATGAATAAATTTGAATGTTTTATCGATTTACGCTACCTATTTGTTCAATAACCTTTGGTCATCATGCCACACTAATATAATGTAGAATTTATCGCAAAATAGTTTGAGGACGTTTCCTGTCGTTTTCCTGCTCGGTTCCTGGTTTTTTCACGCTCGTTTCTTGGTCGTTTCATGTTACAGTAAGATACGATATTTTAAGTTGACCGCAAAATCGGACTATATAATAGCAGAAAGTTTTCTTTTGAGAGAAACTTCTCTTCATTCTAAAACATGTTCCATAAGACAATACAAAATCAGCCTGTAATCCGTTTGTAGTGGTTAAGATGAGCACAATGGAATGACAGAAATGATATCATGATGAATACAATGAAAGGGGGTCGGCTTACTCAGATAGGGTCATTTTTAATGATTCAACGATGGATTTTGTAAAAAAAAAGTGGCCATATCAAGATGGTTCAAAATCTTGTAGCACTTGATCAATCAAATCACTAAAACCTTTGGAATATTTTTCGATTTTCATCTATTTAGGCTTGCACTATGTCGACAAGACGAAAACTAGAGTAAGATTCAGTAGTTGCGCTTCACATTCTCAAAAAAATTATTGAATATTTTTCCCATTTTTATATGTTTTACTAAAACCAAAAACTATTCAGAAAATAAATGGCTATAAATTGGGTAAATAAAATCTTAATGACAAAATCTGGAGGTCTCTCAAGTATAAAATATTAATCAGAAAATATCTTCACGGCCATCCGAAAAAAAAAACGCCTAACTTCTTGCTGCTCTCGTGCGTCATGCAGATCAAACGTCTACCATCTAGATTGTTTTCAAAGCTTTCAGAGATTAACATTTACTTTTGAATGCTCATTGACTTTGTCTTCAGTCATAGCACAACTTACATGTAGCCTATATCTTTTCTAGCACTATACGTGAAAAAAAAATTTAAGGTAGAAGAAAAATGGATTACCTACCATTTCTTTCCATTTCTAAAAAGAGAAATATTCTGAATTATAATCGATAGAAAAATAACACTTCCGTAATTTTATAAAACTCCAAATTCAATTGTTTGCACAGATGATGTAAAAATATCATTTTAATCTAACTACTGGCAAGAAAGTAAAGACTATAGAATTGTTATGATAATGATGGACCAGTGAATGTATTTTATAGGTTGTCATGATGCCACGGGCAAATTTAATAGCAGATAGCCCATCCTACATCCATTCTCATTGAACTTATAATCCCTAGGTAAATCATTTTCACTCCCTTTGTTGATGGTAATTCTACATAATTTCATTGGCTGTAACATTTCAAATTAGAGGCGTTTAGTAACTAATCTAATAGACTGCCGTACTACCTACACAATAGAATTGCTAAAACTTTTATTTATACACTTTATGTAAATTTTTATTTATCTTCCTTGATTTTTAATTATAGCCGAATGGTAGACTAACGCCATTCCTTGTTTCGATCAATGATTGCAACATAGGCTTACGATTGTTTTGGTAATTGGTATCTCTTGTAGTTGTTTTCTCAAAACAGTGACAAAGTCAGAACTCACATAAACCAGTTGGTTTCAATTTATCAACGACAGTCATTAATAATTCCCAAGATTTCTGAATATTTGTTGTGAATACTGAGACAAAATTATTAATTCAGGTAATCTGAGATGATTAAAGTCATTTATAATTTATTTAAATGTTTGTCAAAAATGCCACTGTTAATTTGTTTCATTTTTTTCAAACCATAAACATGAAGCTTTGTTCTCAAAAGATTGCTTCTATAACACTTGAATGAGAATAGAGACTTTGGCTTGAGAAATGTAAACGTGATAGAGGAATATTTGGCTTTGTAGTAAATAGCTTGCATCGCCAACAAATTTAGAAATATGAATATTATTATTCAATAATATTCAATGAAGAACCACCACAGTAGTTACTGTACAGTCCATATTTTTTATTATTCAGTGATGATATGCCAGGCAATCACGAATTGCAGTTTATTTCTTCCCAAAAGAATCCTGAACCTGGCTATTCTGCTGCGGATCTGCCAACACACGATGACAACAGAAAGCCACAATCTGATGGCATCGAAGAAATAATACTTGTGTAACACAAACTCAGCATACCAAATTATTATTATGTCTACTATATAAATCTGAAAACAGAATCATAAAAATCCGTAAAGAAAGACAATTCCAGACAAAATCTCGTTGGCAAAAGTATGGCAAAATAGAGAGTAAAAGTTGTATAGCAGTGGACTTGTCTATCACCATCAGGTGTTTCAAAATTGTTTGATAAATAAAAACGGAACCACAAGGCCTACTGATTTGACACCAATGAAATCTGGGCCCAGATCATCCTAAACAAAAATAAAAGTTTAATGTACAATTTCGACAATTTTCATGGGAAAATTCTTTTTGACGCTCAATGAAAGGCTTGAGACAGAGTTGCTGCATTTGGAATTCAGCCACGACAGTTGTCCAACCTATAGAGTCAGTCTGCTCCCTATTTGTAACCCAGTCTCGGGAGGTTGGCAACACCACTTAGAGCTTTGTTGGTCGAATCTGTAGTGCCTTTCATAAGTTTAATCTCATAACTTATCACGACTGAAATTTCAATAATTCAAATATGATTTCTTTTTATACATAGTCACGGAATTCCATAACTTTTTCGAGAAATCCTATGAAAACTTTCCAAACGTAGCATTAATATTTGCAGACCATGCATTTTTGTAGTTCTTTCTTAGTTTTTACGAAAGTAGACCACTACTGCATATAAACAACTTTCTGTTCAGGAAACAACTTTTTTTAAAACAATAATCCTTCTTCTTAAGAATATCATCATACATGTATTTCCCTTCAGTTTATTTCTCACATTACTATTCAAAACTAGACCCAAAAAATTATATATGGTTATATTGTTGATCACCCAGAGTTATTACTGCAGAGACAGTGTGTTTTTATTAGTCAATAATGATACAACATAGTCGTTACTGCAGGAACCATATTTTATATTATTCAATGATGATACACCACAGTTATAACTGCTGGGACCACATTTTACAGTATTCATTGATGAAACACTACAGTCCATACTGCAGGGACTACATTATTTGTTATAAATGTTGATACACCACAGTCATTACTGTACAGTGCGCAATTTTTATTACTCAGTGATGGTACACCACAGTCATTACTGTACAGTCCACAATTTGTATTATTCAATGATGATACACCACTTCAGGGACCACCTTTTCTATTCTGAAATGATGTTACACCACAGTCATTACTGCAAGGACCACTTTGTATATTATTCAATAATATTCAATGTTGATACACGAAGTTATTACTCTACGGATCACTTTGTTTACTATTCAATAATATTTAATGATGATACACCACAACCATTTCTGCAGGGATCACTTTGTTTATTATTTAATAATATTCAATGATGAAACACCTCAGTCAGAGGCCACATTTTTATTATTAATGTTGACACCACAGTTATTACTACACGCACCACTTTGATTATTATTTCATAATTATCAATGATGATACATTACCGTTATTACTGCAGGGGCCACATTTTTCATTATTCAATGATGAAACACCTCAGTCATTACTGCAGGGGCCACATTTTATCATTCAATAATATTCAATAATGATTCGTCACAGTTATTACAGCAGAGGCCACATTTTTATACGCCCCATTGAAATTGACTCTGTCCGTCCATAAATGCTCGTAAACACTCTACAAGGCATAATTCTTGACTGATTTCGACGAAACTTGGTATGGTTGTGTGTAATCACCCAAGGATGAATTCTTTTGAAAATCAAATTCAAATTTACCTTGTTAACAATCTAGAAGTTTCAATTCTTGACAGATTTTGACGAAACTTTGTGTGAATGTTTGTTATCACCCAAAGGATGTTCCTTGTCGAAAATCACAGAAATCGAAAAATATTTAGTATCAGTTATTACACTCGTTCTTGAAACTGCGTTCAATTTTTAGCACGTAAACACTACAGGAGACACAATTCTTGGCGCATTTAGATGAAACTTGGTATGAGTGTTAGTAATCACCCAAGGGTGAACCCTATTGAAAATTAGAAGAATCAAAAAATAATTAGTATGAGTTATTGCCCTTGTTCTGGAAAATGTGTTCAATTTAGCACGTAAACACTCTTGAAGGCACAATGCTTGACGGATTTTGACGAAACTTGGCATAGAAGTTTGTTATCACCCAAGGATGAAGCCTATCGAAAATCAGAAAAATCGAAAAATATTTAGTATGAGTTATTGCCCTTGTTCTTGAAAATGAGTTCAATTTTTAGCACGTTATCACTCTAGGGCACAATTCTTGATGGATTTTGACGAAACATGGTGTGAGTATTGATATATTGCCCTTGTTCTTAAAAACGCGTTCAAGAAGACCCAATTATTGACAGATTCTGATGAAACTTGGTAATATTATACAGTATCGCCTGAAAAAAATCGAAAGAAGTGTATGTCTGAAGGTTGACTATTTCATACTGGTAATTGTTTCTGTACTGCCAAATATTTTTATTTAAAATCAAAGCTGCCAGTGGGCGTATATTACCCTGCCTGGCAAGCTATCTTTCACTATTCAATGAAGAAATACCACAGTCATTACTGCACGGACCACATTTGATTTACTATTTCAATATTTATTTTCAATGAAGAAACAACCCAGTTATTATAATATCAGTTATAACACAGTGATGATCACCACAGTCATTACAGCAAGGACCACTTGTCTGGGTAGTTTCCTTTTATTACACGATTGATCAATTTCCTTTGTGATCTGTAGTTTTTGGTCAAGAATTTTGCCTTTCAGATACATGTTGCTTATAATTCACAGACAATTGTAAATAATTTTCTAAATTTATGTTTTTCGATTAAGTAAATCTTGGATTATCGTAATTTTTCCTTTATAATTTCATAATAATTTGCCATGAATTTTATCTTCCAAAGCATTAACAACTTTACCTTTAAGAAACGTAACACTTTCATTCAAAATTTGTTATTTGTCATTTTACTTTGTTATTTTTTTTTTAAGATGTCACATATGAACATGGTTCATCCAAATCCGGCAAGAGTCTTTTCTGCTAAAGGGTTAATGAGTAATTGTGGACAAGGGACAGACATGTGTAATTTAAATATTATCTGATCGTGTTAAATGATTGCACTAATGTTGTTAAAACACAAAATTATTTCTTGCAGAATTGCATTAGTTTTGAATGTAATCAGCCCAAAGACATAATTTATGAGCATTTGTCATAAACAAAAACAGCCTACAAAACCGTACTCCGTGGAAGTGTACCGAATGACAGATAGTTGAAAGCATATCGCTTCCATCTATTGTCTAACTGTTGATTAAATTGTCTAACACACCTACTCAGCATATACGTGATGATTGAAAACAGAAGCTAAATGATTTCCGTGTCAGTATTTAGTAGGAATAATATCTGTCAGATATGGAGACTGATATAGGCTTTATCAAGCGGGGTTTTAAGCAGTCATTATAAATAAAGATATCTGGTGGGATTTCTTTATCAGTAACCTTTACTTATCTTTTATTTCCTACTGATCAATATTTCTATACTATGATATTCAAACCATTGGGGTCATGTGTGTTTTCAAAACTACCAAATCATATGAAATTATATGGGTCGAGGAATGAACTTTGGTACATGTTCATTGTTTCTCACAAATCATATATGCCCAATGTCTTAAAACTTTTAATAAATACATGGTAAACACATTGTATTCCATAGAAAATGGGAACACGCCTCATATTCTTCTGACTATTTCAGACAATAGACCATATGATTTCAAACTTATTTAAGTTATGACAACAATTATAATGGCAAGTTTGCAAGTTTCGACCTTTCTTTGCAAATGACTAAAATACTTACAACCGAGTTTCCAAGAATTTGACCAAAACTTTTTGTCCATTACA